GGGGGGGGGGGGGGCAAGGTTCTGGGCCCTCACCACTGCTTTCTGCACTGCAAGGGGATTAAGATGACCCCCCAATAATTAGATTCTATACATGAAAAATAATAGCAAATGTATACTTTTCCACACACAAAATCTAATTACTGGGGGGCTGTCTTGAATTTGAAGGCCTCTGGGATTCAGGTTAATACAGTAAAATGTTGTCAAATCAACACATTTTGCAACTCTAGGTTTCAGCTTCTGATCTCAGAAGTTAGATTTCTGTTTTCAGAAAAAAGCTTCCAACTAACTTGATATGATCTAGCTGAGATATAGTTGTCAACTCTAACATCAGAATATCATAGAAACAGAAAATTAGGGTTGGAAGGGACCTCAGGAAGTCATCTGGTCCAACCCCCTGCTCAAAGCAAGACTACCTCAACTACATCTTCCCACCCAAGGATTTGTCAAGCTGGGTCTTAAAAACCTCCAATGATGAGGTTCCACAACCTCTCTGGGTAACCTGTTTCAGTGTTTTATTAACCTCCTAGTGAGAAAATTCTTCCTAATATCTAACCTAAACTTCCCTTGCTGCAACTTGAGACCATTGCTCCTTGTTCTGTCATGTGTCACTACCAAGAACAGTCTAGCTCCATCTTCTTTGGAACCACCCTTCAGGTAGTTGAAGGCTACTATCAAATCCCACCTTGGTCTTCTCTTCTGCACGCTAATTAAGTCCATTTCCCTCAGCCTCTCCTTGTAAATCATGTGCCCCAGGCCCTTAACCATTTTCACTGCCCTTCACAACCTCTCTCCAATTTGTCCACATCCTTTCTGTATCATGGCATGATATAACCTGTTGATTAGTCAGTGACTGCAAGTTCTCATTGAGTTATTATGGTGGGTCATTACATAAGACTTGCAGTATGATTTCAGACATTTATAAGGTATGGCTACTGTACCTTTCTCTTACTGGCTGCAATGACAGCAGGAAGCCATCGACTTTCTCTCGTGTCCATTAACAGGAAAACAATGTCATGAGCATCAATGAGTTGCTCAAGCTGTGCCACATCTTTTTGAGCCTGTTCCATTGTTACTTTGGAAAAATTCACTGGGTGACCCGGCATAGGGATACTCATATTAAATCCTTTTGCATTCTACAGGGAGACAAAAAAAAAAAAAAAAAAGTAACCTTAAAAATAAAGCACTATATAGGCAAACTGCTGACTTTAACGAAGTTATACAGTGATGTACTCTTATTCACAATTTATGCACAATGCATGTTATAACTCTTCTACACTGCATGGTCATAATCTTCTAAATCTTTGTAAAGCTCCAGGGCAAAGCTGACATTTCAACCAGTACCTTAAACCTTAATGCTGCTGTTTGCTGTGGCCATTTATCTCTTTGATAGTGACTATTAATGTGCTGCAAGAGGAGGAATCTCTCTTCCTGCAGCATAAAATTGGCGTTATACAGATACATTAAAGATTTTGATTCAGCAAAGGTAAGCAAGTCAGGCATAGGGGAGAAGGAGTCAGAGTGCAAATCTCAACCTTGTTTCTGCTCAATTAACATAGCTACAGACCTGAAGCAGCCCATTCTATTTTAATTCCCAGCCTCCCTGATGCTCCAATTCTGTCACAGAACCTTAGTGGTGCCCTGCAGCTTCATTTGCCGATTAATTTTACCAAATGGGAATGACATAAGTAAATGAACTAGAACAGGGGTTGTCAACTGGGGGTATGCGTACCACTAAGGGTACTTAGACAGGTCATAGTGGGTAGACACAGGCAGGCAGGAACTGAGCATACCCAGGGCACAGTGGTGGCGTCTCCCCGGGCATGTTTGCCTCTTACCCGGGGCAGGGGGAAGGGGAGGCAAGCGCCGGGTGCCACCGGCCCCACATGGCATATTGTGGCACCTCCCTGCACTCACCGATCTGAATGGTTCATAGAATCACAGAAGTAGGGTCAGAAGGGACCTCGTAGATCTTCAAGTCCGACCCCCTGCCTGGGCAGGAGGAAAACTGGGCTCAAATGACCCCAGCCAGGTAGGCATCGAGCCACTTCTTAAAGACCCCCAGGGTAGGAGGCAGCACCCTTGGAAGTTGGTTCCAGATCCTAGCCGCCCTAACTGTGAAGTAGTTCTTACGGATGTCCAATCTAAACCTACTCTCCAACAACCTGTGGCCATAATTCCTTGTTATCCCAGGGGGCGCTAGGGGAAACAAGGTCTCCCCCAAAGCCTTCCAGTCCCCCCTAGTGAGTTTATAGACGGTCACAAGGTCCCCCTCAGCCTTCTCTCGTGAAGGCTGAACAGGTTCAGGTCCCGTAGCCTCTCATTGTAGGGTCTGCCCTGCTGTCCC